AAATCATACATAGCCTAAGAATCTTTTGATAAGTCATTTCTTACGTTGGTAACTTATTTAATTGTTTGTTAATTTTACGATATTTTTACCATCAGAAATCTATTTGATAACCATTTCGTTTTCAGTTTTCAATTTATATTTACAAAAATTTATAAAACTGCTATAAAAACTTATTTGATATTTTTTTTTGGTTTATAAAAAGTTGTCTTAGTTTGTAAATTTGAGGAAAAAATGTAAATTCAAAAAATGAGCTTACGTTGGTTTTTAAATAGAAATTTAAATATTTTACTAACAAAATTTTTTTTCAATTAATTTTTTTTTCAAATAATTTTTTTTCCAATAATTTTTTTTTCCAACTAATACTAACCGATGGGGCAATTGGTAATGCTACTTTAAACCTTAGGGATGGGATTGTAATTTCTAAAATGTGAGGGGTGTCAATGTAATTTACCTAGTGAGGGCAAAATTGGTATTTAAAAAAATTAAATTGCTGAGAGGGGAAATTTGTAATGAAACTTTAAACCTTAGGGGGATGTAATTTCTAAAAGATGAGGAGGGAACTGTAATAAATATAAACCTCAGGGGGTGTCAGTGTAATTTACCCATAATGTTATATCTAATGATTATAATAAAAAATATTAGATATAATAAAAAACGTCATTTTTTGATAAATCATCTTTCTAAGTATTTTATTCCATTTAACCCATATGCTTTTTGGGTATTCCATTCGGTCCTATTTAATGAAATATGACCAAATCATATTTTTTTTTTTATGAAAAAAATCCCTCCCTCATTCTAAAGAGAAAATCTTTCCCTTACTCTATAAATCTCTTCTTTATTCTAAGGAGAAAATCTCTTCCGCATTCCATGAAAAAAATATCAAATTATGAACTTTGAACCTTTTTATAATTTGAAAATTTTAAAAATAACGAAACAAAAAATTTGAATAAAAATCAAAATATAATGTGAATGTTCATAGTAAACAATAAATATACAACTAACTTTTGAAAAAACAAAACACATACTAAATTAAATTGTGAATGTTCACAATAAAAACAAACTTACAATGAACCTTCGAAAAACTAAAATTCTTGCTAAAATACAATCTGAATGTTCACAATTTATAATTAACATACAATTAGCCTTAAAAAAAAAAAAACTCATACCAATGTAAACATTTACACTACAACGTGAAAATATAAAACAAAATTAAAAAAAAGTGAAAATTAACTATTTCAATTGTTCAATGGTAACCAAAATACAATGTAAATGTTAACAATTTACAATTAACATACAACTAACTTGGAAAAACTAAATTCATACCAATGTGAACATTTACACTGCAACATGAAACAAAATTGAAAGAAAAAAAAGAAAAGAAAAAACTATTTCAATTGTTTAATGATAACAAAAAATGATTATTCAAACAACAAATATAATAACAAATAACCAATGATATGTGAACATGTACATCCTGCAAAATATATAATTATGTCCATATTTATATTCCAACACTTATTTATTAGATTTTTAAACAATGTGAAATGTGAACATTAACACTAATTGACAAAAAAATAAAAATAATTAGCAATAGAATTAGAAAATCAAAAAAAACTCAATCACTCTAAAAATAATATATATATATATATATATATATATCACCCACATCATCATCTTTATCATTATCACCATCATTAGCAATCTGTGCAATTTTACCATTTCACCAATTCAAGTCAAACCAAACCCAACTTTGAAGAATATGTTTGTAACAAAATTAACTAGACATAAACAAAGCTTTTTTTTGATCAGCAAAAATAACTTTATTGATGAAAAAAGAAATTACAACAAAAAAGAAAAAGAAAAAATGATGAGTGCAAAAAGCATCATAGCTAACCAAATCAATCCCAACTAGGTTGGCACCGATAAGATCGCCAAATCATATGCTAGCACACCATCAGAAGTTGGTGAGAGACCAACCACAAACACCCAACAAAACAAACCCAGATATAGCAAACCAGAACTAAAACAACCCAACCCAACCAACCTACCAAACATAAGGAAATATCAGCAGCCAAATTGAAGACTTTACCCCCACAGAGAAAACAACAACCAGTAGCATTGTTCACCCTCAAGCCAAATTGAGATGAAATAGTCATCATAGAAATTTAGCAACATTGATCACCCACAAACCCAAGCATCAATCCCTACTACAAATAAAATATCCTGATCTCCTAATCAACTCCCAAGTCAGTATACATTCAATAGCACAGATATCATCAATCGGAGAGAAGTTACTGCCCTCACAGTTTAGCCACAAACTATAAGCTTCACCCAAGAACCAACATAGATCAACACACCAGACCAAGACCACCCACAGGCCAGGGAAATCATGTACAACCCAAGCAAGATATTCACAACCTTGAATTAACATAGCCTAACAAGTTAAGACTAACATCTAATCTGCTGAATATTATTAACAATTTCATGCACAGAGTATAAACACCCTGAAAATTGAGCTTTTACCCAAACAGCAATTCTGAACTTAATCAAGTCACATACTTCCTCTAGGTGCACTTGCTTACCATTGAACACCACCTCGTTCCTAAGTTTCCATAATGACCACATAACAGCCAATGGAATAGTCCGCCAAATCGAATTTGCGAGCTTACCCCACTTGAAGCCACCCCACCACCCAAGAAGATCCTCCACATTCCGAGGCATAGCCCAACGCAACCACCACCAATCCATCACACAAGACCATACTCTCCAAGCAAAAGGGCACCATAACAATAAATGAGACACTACCTCATCCTCTAATTGACAAAATTGACACAATACAGAAGCACCAGGTCCCAGCACCCTTATTCTTCGCAGAAAATAAGAAGTCTTCAGCCGCCCCTTCCATGCCAACCAACCTAAAAACTGAACCTTTGGAGGAGATAAATTATTCTAGATTATCTTAGTGACTGGACAGGATTCTAAGGTCTCCAACATAGAATACAGGGAGGAAACACTAAATTGACCAGATGAACTTGCCTCCCACTGTAACCTATCAACCATTTCCGACAGACTATACCCAACTGTATTAAAAAAATCACCCAACCTAATTAACTCATCAGATTCCCAGCCTAGCAATGCTCTTCTAAACCTGAATGACCTATCAATCTGGGCAGACCACCTTTCCGCCACCACTTTAAGAGTAATGTCCTTTTCTAACGATAAACTAAACAACCTTGGAAAAGCAGACTTAACAGACAGATTGCCCGCCCACGTATCAGTCCAAAAATGAATTCTGTCCCCATTCCCCACAATCAACTTAGAGTTATTCAAAAAAATATTAAAAAGTTGAGAATTTGAATGGCTAACCTTGAGAATAGCACCCCACATTTTTGAACAGATCCCAAAATCAACTGAAAAAGGGTACCACCTGCCACCAATTGGAGGATACCTACTACAAATTACTTTTTTCCACAACGAGTTATCCTCAACACCAAACCGCCACCACCATTTAGCCAACAAACAATCATTCACCTCTTGAATTCTTCTAATACCTAAACCCCCACTAGCTTTGCTCTTTGTTGCTTCAGTCCAGCTAACTAGATGAACCTTCTTTTTCAAATCGGATCCCCCCCAAAGAAAGTTTGCTCGAATTTTATCAAAAGCCTTAGCCACCGAAGAGGGCAACTTAAAAAGAGATAAATAATACGTAGGCAGATTGGATAAAACAGACTTAATAAGCATTAGCCTACCACCAAATGATAAGAGCTTCCTCTTCCAAGATGCAAGTCTAGCTTTACATTTATCAAGGATCGGCTGCCACGTCTTCTTCAGCCTAGGATTAGCCCCCAATGGTAACCCAAGATACATTAATGGTAACTTCTGATATTTGCAATGTAATCTAGATGCAAACTCCTCTAACTCTGATTCCTGCACACCAATTCCGCATATAGAACTTTTATGAAAATTGATTTTCAAACCAGATACTAATTGGAAGCACCTGAGAATCCTTTTAACTACTATTAACACCTCCATATTAGCTTCACAAAAAATAACTGTATCATCAGTGAACTGAAGATGCGATACCGTAATATCATGACCCACCGAAACTCCTGAAATTAGACCCAAAGATTTGGCCCTAAGCATCAGCATATTAAACCCTTCTGTCACTAAGTTAAATAGAAAAGGAGACAAAGGATCACCTTGACGAAGGCCTTTACCAGGTTTAAATTCAGCTGTAGGGGATCCATTCACCAAAACTAAGCATCTGGATGATTCAAGACACTCCTTAATCCAACCTCTCCACCTATCTCCAAAACCAAACTGCTTCATCATAGATAGTAAACAACCCCAACTCACCGAATCATACGCCTTATGGAAGTCAAGCTTGAGAATCACACCCTTCTTTTTATTAACCTTTCACCAATCAACAATCTCATTGGCTATTAAGACCCCATCTAATATATTTCTTCCACCCAAAAAAGCTGATTGAACCTCACCAATAACCTTTGGCACCACCTTTTTCAATCTATTAGCTAACACTTTCGCTAGAATCTTATAAATGGAACCAATGAGACTTATGGGCCTATAATCAGTTATGCTAATAGGACAATCAACTTTCGGTATAAGAGTAATAAAAGAATTATTCACTCCAGAGGCTAACTTCCCATAATCATGAAACTCCTTAAAAAACTGCATAACCTTCCCTTTGAACACCTTCCAACACTTTTGAAAACATGCCAAGTTAAAGCCATCAGGCCCTGGTGTTTTATTCCCATCACAACTCTGAATAGCAGCCCAAACTTCCTCTTCCGAGAAAACAGCTTCTAAACCATCCACTAGATGACCCTGGCCAACAGATCTAAAGTGCCCTCTCAATTGTGGTCTGCCTCTCCATCCTTCAGAGAACACTTGATTGAAATACCTGAACACCTCTGCTCTCACCATCGATGGTTCCTCAAGTAACACACCATCAACTAACAATGAGTTCATAAATTCCTACACTACCTACTTGAAGCTATGGTATGAAAATACCTTGTATTTTTGTCCCCTTTCATAGCCCAATCCAACCTGGATTTTTGAAGCCACATCCATTCTTCCTTTTTGGACAAAGACCATACTAGCCTCCTAACCTCTCTTTTACGAGCTATTTCATTAACCCCCAAATCTCTAGATTCAGCCACCAAATCCCACTCATGCAACTCCTCCTGAGCCTTTTTTAAAGAGTAAGACACATTCCCAAACACCTCTGTGTTCCACTTCTTCAAATCCAATTTCAGATTTCTAAGCTTCATAACAATCACAAAGCCTGCCCACCCCGAAAAAACCGATTCCTCCCATGACTTCTTAATAATGGAAGAAAAACCTGGATGTAAAATCCAGGCATTAATAAATCTGAACGGCTTTGGCCCCCAATCCCTCCCATCCTCCAATAAAAGTAAAGGACAATGATCAGAAACACCCCTTGGTAAACCCCACAACTTCAACTTGAATTTTACCAACCATTCAGATGACAATAGAACTCGATCAATACGACTCCACCTGCCCCCATCCCCTGAATTACTCCATGTGAATTGTCTACCGAACATTGGCAGATCCAACAATTCCAACCCTTCAATAAAATTATTAAATTCTATCATGCCTCTACCCCTTCTTGTACAGCCTTTTCTTTCCCCTACAAACCTAATCTCATTAAAGTCCCCTCCCAAACACCATGGTGTAGGAAAACCTGACTTTAAATTGCTAATAACATTCCACAACTGACCCCTCCTTGAGACATCATTCGGTGCATAGACATTAATAAATACACATTCAAAGTCTGGTAGGATAGTACCTGATAACAAAATGAAGCACCTAGAACTGCAACACTCTGATAATACAAAAAACGAAGCTCTCCAAACACACAATATTCCACCAGCCAAACGAACTGCATCCACACTCATAAAATCAAAATCATCATCAGGCCAAATCGAACGAACTTCTTCTCTTGACAACCTATCTTTCTTGACTTCTTGAAAAAACACCAAATCAACTCTTCTCTCCTTGAGCAACCCCTTAATTTTCCTTCTTTTCCCTGGTTTCCCAAAACCCCTAATATTCCAGGTCATTAGCTTCATCAGAAAAACATAGAGAAACACCTAACCACCTGATGGCGTTATTCAATGATGAATAACACCATCCAGCTGCGCCACCCTCCTCACATCCTCTTCTTCCAACTCCACAATTCTTTGAATTGCTTCTTGATCCTTACCACCGAAATCAATCCCTAAATCTTTTCCCAACTGTAAAGTCGCCTTTTCCTCTTCTAAAACCAGGTTTCCTCTCCGATTAGGCTGACCACCAGAACTTGATTTAGACAAAACAGCCGCTGCCACTCGGAAAACAGGTCCCTTTTGCCACATTGAAGCCGAGCTACCAGCCCTAACAATTCCCTTCCCTCCCTTCTGAACTAAACTCCCCCCCTTTGATCCCTTAGCTTGACCCAGAGATTTCTTTCTCCCCAGATCTTTACAATTTTGCTTATGAGGCCCTCCCGATCCTTCAGCTAACGCTATTAAGACCCCATCTAATATATTTCTTCCACCCAAAAAAGCTGATTGAACCTCACCAATAACCTTTGGCACCACCTTTTTCAATCTATTAGCCAACACTTTCGCTAGAATCTTATAAATGGAACCAATGAGAATTATGGGCCTATAATCAGTTATGCTAATAGGACAATCAACTTTCGGTATAAGAGTAATAAAAGAATTATTCACTCCAGAGGCTAACTTCCCATAATCATGAAACTCCTTAAAAAACTGCATAACCTCCCCTTTGAAAACCTTCCAACACTTTTGAAAACATGCCAAGTTAAAGCCATCAGGCCCTGGTGTTTTATTCCCATCACAACTTTGAATAGCAGCCCAAACTTCCTCTTCCGAGAAAACAGCTTCTAAACCATCCACTAGATGACCCTGGCCAACAGATCTAAAGTGCCCTCTCAATTGTGGTCTGCCTCTCCATCCTTCAGAGAACACTTGATTGAAATACCTGAACACCTCTGCTCTTACCATCGATGGTTCCTCAAGTAACACACCATCAACTAACAATGAGTTCATAAAATTCCTACACTACCTACTTGAAGCTATGGTATGAAAATACCTTGTATTTTTGTCCCCTTTCATAGCCCAATCCAACCTGGATTTTTGAAGCCACATCCATTCTTCCTTTTTGGACAAAGACCATACTAGCCTCCTAACCTCTCTTTTACGAGCTATTTCATTAACCCCCAAATCTCTAGATTCAGCCACCAAATCCCACTCATGCAACTCCTCCTGAGCCTTTTTTAAAGAGTAAGACACATTCCCAAACACCTCTGTGTTCCACTCCTTCAAATCCAATTTCAGATTTCTAAGCTTCATAACAATCACAAAGCCTGCCCACCCCGAAAAAACCGATTCCTCCCATGACTTCTTAATAATGAAAGAAAAACCTGGATGTAAAATCCATGCATTAATAAATCTGAACGGCTTTGGCCCCCAATCCCTCCCATCCTCCAATAAAAGTAAAGGACAATGATCAGAAACACCCCTTGGTAAACCCCACAACTTCAACTTTAATTTTACCAACCATTCAGATGACAATAGAACTCGATCAATACGACTCCACCTGCCCCCGTCCCCTGAATTACTCCATGTGAATTGTCTACCGAACATTGGCAGATCCAACAATTCCAACTCTTCAATAAAATTATTAAATTCTATCATGCCTCTACCCCTTCTTGTACAGCCTTTTCTTTCCCCTACAAACCTAATCTCATTAAAGTCCCCTCCCAAACACCATGGTGTAGGAAAACCTGACTTTAAATTGCTAATAACATTCCACAACTGACCCCTCCTTGAGACATCATTCCGTGCATAGACATTAATAAATACACATTCAAAGTCTGGTAGGATAGTACCTGATAACAAAATGAAGCACCTAGAACTGCAACACTCTGATAATACAAAAAACGAAGCTCTCCAAACACACAATATTCCACCAGCCAAACGAACTGCATCCACACTCATAAAATCAAAATCATCATCAGGCCAAATCGAACGAACTTCTTCTCTTGACAACCTATCTTTCTTGACTTCTTGAAAAAACACCAAATCAACTCTTCTCTCCTTGAGCAACCCCTTAATTTTCCTTCTTTTCCCTGGTTTCCCAAAACCCCTAATATTCCAGGTCATTAGCTTCATCAGAAAAACATAGAGAAACACCTAACCACCTGATGGCGTTATTCAATGATGAATAACACCATCCAGCTGCGCCACCCTCCTCACATCCTCTTCTTCCAACTCCACAATTCTTTGAATTGCTTCTTGTTCCTTACCACCGAAATCAATCCCTAAATCTTTTCCCAACTGTAAAGTCACCTTTGCCTCTTCTAAAACCAGGTTTCCTCTCCGATTAGGCTGACCACCAGAACTTGATTTAGACAAAACAGCCGCTGCCACTCGGAAAACAGGTCCCTTTTGCCACATTGAAGCCGAGCTACCAGCCCTAACAATTCCCTTCCCTCCCTTCTGAACTAAACTCCCCCCCTTTGATCCCTTAGCTTGACCCAGAGATTTCTTTCTTCCTAGATCTTTACAATTTTGCTTATGAGGCCCTCCCGATCCTTCAGCTAACCTGCCCAATAGAGACCTGGGCTGAGAAGACCTCGTAACGAAATTCCCACCAACCTGGGCCTGGACCACTTCCTTTCCTTTAAAACAATGGTCCACTTCCAAAGCTATTTCATTGGGCCTAACCACCCCTTTTGCTTCAACAACCTCATCCAACACTAATTGAATATTAATACCGGGCCTATCAAACCCACTACTAAGACTCTTCATAAACCCAGCTGAGACCAATCCAACATCCTCCCCATTTCTTTCAACAATGCTCCTGTTAGGGACAGATGGGCTATCATTGATTATATGACCATCTCGAGCTACTAAAACCTTTGAATTCCCAATCCAACACTAATTGAATTCCCCAGACATAAACAAAGCTTTAACTTACAACAAGGGAGAAAGATAGAGTTTTGAACACAAAATAACAATGAACGGATACAGAGTAACAATGAATGAACACAGAACTTCGAACACAACACGAAGTTTCACTACAAGAATGGAGGAACATAATTTATTTCTCCATCATGTGTAAACTAGCATTTCTAAATCTTACCAAATAGAGAGTTTCAAAACCCTAACACAATGAAACAATATTACAAATGTGAATGAAACTGATCAAAAAGAAAAAATGTGAATAATGGTAACTATCAAAATAGAGGTAGAAATAAAAAGGAAATGTGTATATTCTTTTTCTATATAATATATATCAACAATAGACATAAGGGTATAATAGTCCAACAAACAATATAAATTAGGAAAAAAGGACCTCATGGAATAAAAGTATAAATACATCAGATTAATTAGGTTATAATTTTCCTTGGTGGACTTGTTGGGTTAGAACACCTACAAATACAAATGAGATTTATCAATAAAAAACCCGTAAAAATATCATCTCATGGTATTATTTATTAATACATAGAATATTCATTGAATCTCATTTGTAATTTTTTAGTTAGTGATATCACGTAAATTGATGTTATTGTTTTTTATTTTTATTTATTTTTTATTTTTTGATGGAATATAGCCAATATACTTTATATTTACTTCACATTTTGATAATATTGAGTATATTGTTTTACATGATGCTAATCACGGCATCTAACGGCGCAACTATCTTGAACTTGTTCTTAGACTTTAAACATAGTTGTTGTGTTATTTTATTTATTCATTTATTTTAGAATACTTTATTATTATTAATTTTTTTTTTAAAATGCTTAAAACATAGTTGCAAAACAACAACGTTGTATGCAGTGGTGGTGTTATAATTTTTTGTTAGGAAAAAATGGTTTCATGGTGATCTTAACGTGAAATTAAAGTAGGTCACGATTATTGGTTGAGGTGGGATTAAATGGGTTTAAATTTTTTATAACAAGATTTTTACACCACAAAAAGAATGACAAAAAATCATTAAGAATTGAATGAGAAATTGTAACGCTCCGAAATATCCCAACACCGATTAGGTACATTTGCCAACATTCATTAAGGAATAAAGATAGATTTCCAACTCTTTTCATCATTAACCAATAAAGTGTATACAAAAGTTCTACATGCGAATTATACACTTAACGGTATAAAAACACATGAATCTAAAGCATGTAGAGTATCAAATTCTAAAATAAATAAAATACCCTTAAGGCCCGATTATACAAAAATTGTTTCACGAACCCATACATTTAAAGCCCTTGGTTAGAAAATTAATTCACAACAAAATAGAGTTATCTACTCTTCACAAAAATATGTCCATGCCCTCAATTCGGCAGGATCACCACATTTTTTCCTGCATCAAAATCCTATAGGGGTGAGCATAAAGTCCAGTGGAGAATTCTTACAAAGTATACATAGTTATGCAAATTTCTAATGTGAAATACAAATGTCATGCAATGCCAATTTAAAGAGAATTTCATTTACATGCTCCTTTTGAAAAATCACCATGTTCAACAACAACTTGAAATCTCAACAATTCCGAAACTTCTAATTTTATTCAATAGGGGCGGTAAATACGGCTTAGGTAATCTCTAAGTTGGTGTCCGCAAGTAGGCTTAACTAGCACTACCAAAACCCCACTTTACCGGTTGCTAACCGGAAGGGAAGTTGTACCTCCTCCTCGCGTGTTTTCAGTCTTTCACCCCGGACACTCATGCCAACTTATCAATTTCATCTACACCTCCTATCTGGACTTACCAACGTATTTATCCCATAAACATTTCCATGATTTTGTTTCACAATACTTCATTTTTAATGAAAGCTACAAGTCCCAATCCAATAGTCATGATGTGCAAGGTTTTGGAGAAGTCAATGCAACAATTGTTTATACTATGTCATATTTGTCCACTTCCAACGTAATTTCAACAAATATTCTATGATGATCAAATTTCCTTTTTCTCCTAGCAATGCCATTCTACAAATAGCCAAAAATTTGCTTCCATTTATCAATAAATACAACAACATGCTCACAATTCATG